GAGGGGTAAAAAGTATAACTATTGCACTGTGTTGTACAGCTGAAACTAATTCTAAAAAATGTGTATTTCATAATAAAAAATAATTTAATAAAAAAAAATTTTTGTTTAAGTTTTCTGACAATACTAAAATATCTGCCTAAAAGTGGATCAACTCCTTTGGGTCACTGTGATAACATTCACTGGTAACTGAGTCTTCCCTAAGAGTTAAGGGGGAGTAGGGGTAAGTTTCAGTGAGAACAAACTGAGACCATATAAAAAAGTAGCTAGCTGTGTTAAGGCATCAAAGAACTAACTGAGGGTGTTGGCTCTTCTTCCTTTGATTATCAAAGTAGGGTCAATCCTGACTTGTATGCAAATGGTGGGGGTTCACTCTTGCACTGTGAGCAGGCTGACTAGATCAGAGAGAGGCTTCCTTGCCTGGAACTGCAGCCTGGGCTGTCCACGGCTGCAGCAAAATGGCAAACATTCACTGTTATTTTAATCCAAATAGTCACTGAACTCAATTATTTCTACTTAGCTCTTTTTAACAAAGTATTTAGTGTAGAATTTGAATCATGTATTAAATACCCTTATAAAACATTAACATAAAAGGGTTCACTCAAGAGATCTTTGTCAGGGGAACCAAGGAGTTGTTAAGAAGTTGGATCTTACGTTTCAATAAGTATGAAAATGTCAAAATATAGAGAAGTAAATAGCACTGGTTATAACTAACACTTCTGAGATTTGAAACACTGATGTTGAACAATCTCTTTTCCTAATAATCTTTAGCCAAATGCCAAATTCTGCTGAAATCCACTGTATATTAGACAATAGCTAAGCGAACTTTTGGTCACCATTTTGTTTCAAGAAGAATAATTGATTATAATTCCAATTTCACATATCTTGGTATCTTTAGGTTATACGCCTACTTTGTAAAAATTGATCAACTGCTTCAAAAATGGACCAGAAAAGAATCACTACACAGGAGGCCTAGTGGCCTGATGAATATGGAAACAGCGAGGGCTATATCTTCATCCCATCCCACAAAGATAAAGGATACCTACCATACATGCCATCCTCAAACTCAAGAGCTGCCCGCCTGATGATACGTTCCCTCACATTGTCTCCAGGTTTACCAGATTTGGTTTTTGCATCTCCATCTTTCCGGACTGATAAACGCTTTAAAATAAACAGAAATACATTACTCATGTTTGAGGTATGCCTTGGATGTTATCACTGTTAAAGTATAAAATTTTATTGGAAAAATTTAACTCTTTCCCATTACTACTATGAGGCAAATCTGCAATATAACAGAGAGTTTATTTTAAAAAGAAAAACATGGGTGACATTTGACATAACAGAAATAACTCTTTAGAAAGTAAGTGAAAGAGGTCATATTTTATTTGAATAGGAAGATATACCAAGTTCTGTCTCTTTGAAGCAAATAACCCCTCTGTTATGGTCACACTGACTGCTATCACTGATACCTCTCAAGACTCCTGCAACTAAATTCTCCTCAGGTGCTCAGGGACTGAGCCAGAACAAAGAAAAAAGGAAATAGACCTTGGGATATGTTTTTTGCAGGGATGTCAGAATGTGTTTACTAGGCATTGCTGCTCTCAATTGCCTATTTTCACCTGTAGAATCTAGACTGGTTTCGCTACAAGTGTATCACAGGGATCGTGGAAATATCCAGAAACCAGCCAAGAAAGTATTTCCATTGCTAAGTCTCCTTGACAGACTTTAGTTCATGTTTTTAAATGTCCCATCCTTTTTCCCTAGCCCCCGACATTAGTTTTGGGTTACACAATGTCTTTCTGTTTGATGTCTACAGGGTACAGGGTATCTCTGATTTCCTAATATTCATATTGCTTGTCTATTTTGTGACTGATCCCTAGACACTTACAAATCTTGCTATCAATTCTGGCTCAGATGGTCATTCTTCATGAGTATACTTAAAACACCTTCCAGCCCTCCTGGAAGCCACTCCTTGCCACAATCTCATTCCCACCGGCTGCCTAGAGCCTAATGCTTAACACTAATGGGAAATGATGTTCTTTCTGGACTCTATAACATACAAAGCAACTTCAAGGCAGAGAGACATTTCTGAACAATCAATTAAGAGTTAAGAGTCCAGTAGAGGTAAAGCCACCACAGATCTGATTAGCCTTCTCTACTCTATCGAACAGGGTCAATGCAAAACTATGCATCATAAATTAGGATGGTTACAGAGGCCTGGAAACAAAACCTACAGAATCACATAACTTGGTGATATACACCTTGTAAACACAAGGCACTATTGTGCTGTACAATGCACAGATGATCATGTTCCTTCAAGACAGACACATGAGAAGCTCCTACTAAGATCCAAAGCAAGACTCCCTGTCAGCTCTAATTACCTATCATCTGGAACGGTCTCAGGGACACACAGCTCTGATAATCAGATCCATAAATCTGACAAAGAAGCTAAGTCAATTACCTCAATTCTTTTCTCATATTTTTCTCCCTTTATAAGACGATGTACATAAATCTTAGGAATATGGATGTCTTCTGGGGCAAAAGATCCAATATCCACAATTTCTTCAACCTAAACAAAGAGAAAAAAAATTTAAAAATTAAATAGTGAAAGCATAAACTGAACATTTTTTATTTTAAAAAATGAAGTATATACATCTTCACCTCCAACTTAGGTTGGATACACAATGTAAAAAAAAAAANGAAAATAATTTTATGGTTGGGGGTCATCACAACATGCGGAACTGTATTAAGGGGTCACGGCATTAGGAAGGTTGAGAACCGCTGCTCTAGAAAGAGACAAAGAATCAAGCCCAACTCCTTACTATTATTTGCACAGAAGTAAATTAATAGCAAAATAATATGCTGGAAAAATATGTAATGAGTGAGTTTACCTGCATTGATTAGATCTGCATCAACTTCATTTTGTAATGGATATGGACCCTGTCAAATAAAGGAAATTAGTCAAAGTCAATTAGTAAAAGAAGTTTCTCATTAAATCACACACTAAAGCTGTAATATAAATAACTTCTCTAAAAACCCTAGGAAATTATCATCAAAAGACTTGAGGTAAAACTTTAAAAAATAATTCTGATGTTTTCATGGCTCTGTTTCTCATACTGATTAGTTTTTTTCTACACTAATAATTGTGATTCAAAATGAAAATTATTTTCTAAAAATTACCAAAGTTTGAAATAAATGTTAAGATATTAGAACTATAGGTCAGTAAAACTATAGGTCAGTAAAAAAGTAACTGTTTACTACCTACTATGCAGCCAGTGTTATTCATAAACCTTCCTCTTAGTATCAATGAATATAAACTAAATGGCTGCATTATTTGGCTAGAAAGACCTGGAGAGGCAAATTTCACCTTTTTGGTATGTAGCAGCTAAGGGCCAGAATTTAGGGTTCTAATCTTATCTCTCACAACATCTAAGTTTGGCTACCTTTATTTTCCCTTTGCCCACTTATTCTCAGTAAGTTTTTTAAAAATTGTGTATTTATTTTTATAAGGCATCTCTAATTACTTGAATGGGGCAAGTGGTGTTGTAACATAACATATATTAAACAAAAAGGGAGAAAAGAAAAAAGAGAAAAGAAAAAGGCATAAGACAGAGCCAAGAATGAAGATATTTTGGCTGTGAAATTTTAAGACTTTCAAAGAGACGAAAAATTTACTCTTTAAATAAACTGAAGTGGTAAGTAATGTTTAGAGATATATAAATTTTCCTTTAAACATTGACCATGGGTAATTCACTTAAACTTATTTCCATTATCTTCAGAATGAGGGAGGGAATTCATCACTCTAGATAATCTCAACGTACCTTAATAATATAAGTCTTTGACTTCAATATGAATCTGCTTTTATCTAGACACATCATTTCTGTGTCTTTGAAAATAATTATGACTATTGCCTCAATCAATCAGTATTGACTATATGCCCATTATCATTATTTATATTTTAAATACTGGATATACATTTTTCAATATGTGCAATTTTTATTAACAGTTAAGATGTCCTGAGGAACAATAAAGATTAGGAATATTATAAATTAGCAAACTATAAATAATCTCTGCCACAGTTAATAATTAAATTAAAAAATGTCATCCAGGAACCAAAGGATTTTATTTTTATTATGATATTGAACAAAAACTATGGAGGAATTCCATGAGAATATTGAGCTCATCTGGAAGGTTAATCTTGAGAAAAAGAAAATTCTACCCTTTTGGACAACACTACCTTAAAACAATAATTAGGTGAAAAGAATTTCTAAGAGTTTTTGAATTAAACAACTGTCAAAAATATCCCTGCCCTAAGTAGAAACCTTACTCTTCAGTTTTCATTCAGAGCCTTACATATGTTTATTTAATTGCTAATGACCTTCATTCTAGTCCAACCACACAGGAGTGAGAAATAGGTAACTAAACAGGAAACGGTGAGGTCTCTCCCAAGCAGGTACCCTCGGGGAGATGGAAGCTGATAAACTGACAAAGGAAGAGTAACTAAACAGGAAATGGTGAGGGCTCTCCCAAGCAGGTACCCTCAGGGAGATGGAAGCTGATAAACTGACAAAGGAAGAGTAGTCAGAAAGCTCACAAAGTCAGGAAGTGACCATCTACTACAAAAACCACAACACTACATACAATTCCCACCATTTTCTGGGAAAGTCAAATATTTTATAATGATGATAAACAGAAAAATAAGGTTGGGAACCTGAAGCTAACAGCTCTCAGTTGTAAGATTTCACTATGTGGACTGTCTCATTCTCCATCCAGGCTACATAAATAAAACTTTCATTTCTGTCTTACCAAACCCAGGACTCCATTTTCGCTTTGCAGATGAACAGTCTTATCTGGGCTGATGAAGTTGCTGGCCAGAAGTGGGATTCCTATGCCCAAATTAGCTGAAGAAAAAAAAAAAAAAAAGATGTTAAGGTACAACACAGAAAAGGTAGCGAAATGGTGCCATAAATGTTCTACACATATAAATCTAAAGAGAAGCGTTCTTTAAAGGCACTCGCTCTGAACATAATCACTCTATACATTCTCCAGTCACTGTATAGGCACTATTTTGTAATTTTTTAAAATAGGAAATCTCTCATTAATCACAGCTTTTTCAATAGCACTAATATGCCTTCCCATCACTATCTCAAAGTAGAAGCTTCAGAAGACTGGCCAAGAGGTCATTATTGTTGTGAAACATATTTTATTTTTATTAATGTGCTCAGCAAATTTGGACTGATGTATTATTAAACATGGCCTGACCTTTGTTTAAAAGCAATTTTCACTATTCAAAACTCCAACTAAAAATAGATGATTTAATACTCTTAAAAAGGGCTACCATTTCTAAATTTAAAGAAGTTTTCTGAGTCTATCCATGTCGTCCCAAATGTTATGATTTCATTCTTCTTTATAGCGGAGTAATACTCCATTGTATAAATGTACCACAATTTCTTAATCCAGTTGTCTACGGACGTGGAGTATAGTGTGGGAGTGGAGTAAAAGGAATTGTAATAGATATGTATGATATTGGGGGGAAATGGGGCGGTGGATTGGGGGTGGGGG